ACTAATTTTCAAAAGTAGTGGGTATTTTTTAGCCTTCATTTTACTGCATCTATCATTGTAATTGACACTATTGGCCACTCTATCTCTGTGCTACCATACATTCCTAGATTTCCTCTGACCTTTATTTTCAATCATAGTTAACAACTGTCTTTGCCCACATTGAACTGCCAGTGTTCCCTAGAGTTCTCTCCTGACCCCTGTTCTCATTTTACATTGTCCCCTGAGTGATCTTATCCTCTACTTGGCTTCTGCTTCAGCCAATTTGCTGGGGATTCCCAATTCAGTGTATCTGTTAATATAAACTATTAATAAGTCATATCCCTCCTTTCTGGTCAGGTTTTCTTCAGTCTGTCTTCCATGTGGTTAGCAAAAAGATTCTTCTAAAATACAAATATAATCTCATCACTACCACCTTGTAAAACTTTCAGTGACTCCCTGCCACCTGGTAAAATCCAAATTTTCTTAGATGCCTCCATGGCCTGCCTTTTGTGCTTCTAAGTTCTAAATTTACTACTAATTATAAATTTACTACTACTTTATACTTTTTGCTTACTCATGCTATATTTTTTGTTCTCGCCTGATCATACTGTACCATTTCTTGGCATTATCTCCATGACTTGGCAAATGCTGTTCCTTTTACATGCAATGTCTTCATTTGCATGGCAAGCTTTATTTATCCTTGAAGATCAGCTTAAGTATCATCTCTGTGAAGACTTGTCTGATCATGGAGGCAGAGTTAATCATTGTCCTCCTTGTACCATTTTTACTTACACCCATTTTTAGTACTTTTGGCATCTGCTATATTCTAACTCTTAATTTGTTGAACTTGCATTCTAGCCATTGAGTTTCCTTAGGTCAGAGATCATGTTGTCTTCATTTTTGGATCTCCAGTTTTAACAAAGTACCTTAGAGATAATAATAAAAGAGCAAACATTTCTGCTATCTGAATGTAGTGTAGTGAATATACAATCTTATGGATTTCTTCATGTAAAGGAATAATTTCAGTATACTATAAGAGAGGGATGTGCCCGGTACTGTGGCAGCCTGAAAAAGGGAATGATTGGTTATGTGGAGATGGTCAGAGAAAGTCTTTGCAGAGAAATGGGAAACAGCCTTGGTATGTATAGGAAAGAGACTAGTTCAAGATGTGAAGAATCCATGATGTGCAGGAATAATAGGAGATGAGTTTGGGAAAAGAAGGCAGGGGCCAGAAAATGAAGCAGATCTTAGAGGTTTTATACAGGAAGGTGATAACAAATTTTTGCTTTACACAGATCTATGAGGCAGCTGTATGGAACAAGGAATTAGAGGGACATGAGACTGAAAATAGGGAGACTAGTTAGAGGAAGCTATTAGTATAAGATTTCTAAAAGTTGCAGTATTTGGAAGGAAAAGGATTATAAAGCCTTCTCTATATAACAGAGAAAGGGGATTGGTCTCTAGGTAGAATCTGGCTCTGCCATTCTTTCTCCTTGGTAAAGAGCAAAACCTCTTTTTGTTTTCATGACAGAGTGTGATAAAACCCATGTTTGCGTAAGCTGCAATACCATTACCACCAGTGCAGTTCTGACTGCAGTGTGCTACTATGGTTGCTTTCCTCTGTTCATAGTACCTCTAGCATCTTGATAAAATAGTGGTGAAATATTTTTTGCAACTTTCTGACTGTTGATTTGTCCCATTTCTGCAGCAGTTTTACCTAACTGCATGGTTGATTACTAGGACAAAAAAAAACAAGTATTTTTTTTTAATGTTTATTTTTTTTTAATTTTTTTTTTTTTAACATTTGTTCATCTTTGGAAGACAGAGAGAGAGACAGAGCATGAGCGGAGAAGGGGTAGAGAGAGGGAGACACAGAATCCAAAGCAGGCTCCAGGCTCTGAGCTGTCAGCACAGAGCCCAACGCAGGGCTTGAACTCACGAACTGCGAGATCATGACCTAAGCCGAAGTCAGATGCTCAACCGACTGAGCCACCCAGGTGCACCGTTTGTTTGTTTATTTTGAGAGAGAGAGAGACAGACAGACAAGGTACGAGTGGGGCAGGGGCAGAGAGAGAGGCAGAGAGAGAATCCCAAGCAGGCTCCACACTGTCAGCACAGAGCCCAACTCAGGGATTAAATTTATGAACCATGAGATCATGACCTGAGCTGAAATCAAGAGTCAGACGCTCAACCGACAAAGCCACCCAGGTACCCCTAAATAAATTTGTATGTTGTTTCTTTCTTTTTTTTTTTATTTAAGGGCCACCCAGAAAACCTTTTCTTTGCCTTAGCAGCTCACTTTATTTTTTAAAATGTTTATTTTTGAGAGAGTGCAAGCAGGGAAGGGACAGAGAGAGGGGGAGACATAGGACGTGAAGCTGGCTCTGCTCTGATAGCAGAGAGTCCAATGCAGGGCTCGAACTCATGAACTGAACTGTGAAATCAGATTGACCTGAGCCAAAGTCAAGAACCAGTTGCTTAAGCAACTGAGCCACCCAGGTGCTCCACAGCTCACTTTAACATCCAAGTTCAGTCTGTTTTCTAGGATATTTTACAGTGTTATTTGAAAATAGCTAAAAAGTAGTTATAAAACATTCCATGAAATGATGTCAATCAGAACTTCACAAAGAAAATATTTCTCACTGTGAAAATTTTGTAGTCCATTTGTCATCTCCCTTCCCCAACCCCTATTTTTAAAATATTTTATCCTATTAACAAAAGTTCATTTGATTCTGAAACTAGTGCTACAGCCTTATCTGTTTTAAAGGCAAAGCAAGTCTTTAAATAGCCTTTGTAACCCAAACTGTCACAGAGTTGATACATGTTTGTTCCAGTGAATGAACAGTAAGCATTATTTTCATAAAAGTGCTAGGGATTTCTTACTATTAACTAACTTCCAGGAAGATTTTCTGCTTAAGATAGCAGATTATTTAGTGTTCAGGTTACTTTTTAACCTATTTTGGCTTTTCATAAACTCTGCATTCTTAAACTATTTTAATGTTTAGCCATTGTAGGTGGTTACTTACATTTTATGTCTTTTTTATTGTTATTTTTTTAATTATATTCATTTCTCAATTTAGACTTCCACAATTTCAGTCAGTATTTTTTCTGGAACTACCAAACACCTTTATTGGTTAAAAAGTAAGGCTTATCAAAAACACAATGAGAGTATCAGTGCCATGTGGATTCAGATATATGATTCTTCGCCTCTCTGACTTTGTGTCTGACCCTGTCATTGATGTCTGACCTCTGTGAATATTAAGAACACCTGTATACATCCCTAAAAGTCCATTAAGAATTCATTAATTTATCCAAACCATTCCAGTCTTGCAGAGGCCCTGTCAGCAAAGGGAGCATATTCAGATTTATTCCAAGGGCTTTCAAATTAAACCACCGTGATCCCTCACTGAATTCCAATATGATTCTATCTAGCACCCATTGAGAATTATTACCAAGGAGACAATAGTTACCAATAGGTTTTAAGGTAGAAAATGGTTGAAAGAGAATCATGCAAACTTTAATCTACTTATATTATTAATCCATGTCTCCTTTCACACAAATTTCACCAGTTTGCTATATCCTTTGAATGTAGGACTTCCTTTTATTTGTCCCCAGACTGCCTATTTTCAGTGTCAAGAAAGGTACCCTCTAGTTCAAGTATTTGAAAAGTTAATGAACAACTCTACCCTGGATTATTCATCCTATCCATGCCTTTAATGATTTCATCTCTGATCATATATGTCCCCTTTCCTTACCCACCTTTTTGCCTATCCACTGCCCTTTTCAGGTCCCAAAGTCATTTTAATTGCCCTCTGAATCTTCTCAGCTTTATTTTGTCTTTTTTGAGTAAGTGGTCTGAATTATAATAGTATTTCAGATGTAGGTTTCACTAAAGCCTTATACATGAATAAGATAGTGTTTGGTTTGTTTCCTACAGTTGTCTTTAGAATGACATTTTATTGAAAGCCTTAAATAAAATTTTTATTTTTAGACTGATAGATTGAATATTTTGGTGCTCACCTTGAAACTGTACCTGATGAAAGGAAAGTACTCTTCAATAAAGCTGCTAATGATTGCTTAGTTTCCAAGAAAAAAAAAATCCTACAGTTCAGGGTTCCCCTGCAAAAGTTTTATGTGTCTGCTTGTCTTAGAGATATCACCTTGCACTGATAACAGGGTAATACTGCCCTGCATCAGATGGTTCACTGAGCTGTTGCTGCTGTTGTTGTTGTTGTTGACTAAGATAAGTCTAAAATTCTCATTTTACCTAATATTCCCAGGGAAAAAGAGCATTTACTTTGTGCCAGATACTTTTCTAAGCACTTTGCATGTATTAACCTGTGAAGTAGATATTATTCCAATTCTTGAGATTAGAAGAAGTGGGATACAGAGCTGTAAAATAACTTACCCAAGTCAACCAACTAGTAAGTGGTAGAGCCATTACTAAAATCCAGCCAGTCTCACTCCTGGGCCTACCTTCTTGGTGGGTCTCATGTGCTTATGTATTATTGCTGACTTTTTTGAAAAAGTAGTAACTTAGCCTATCCCATTTGCAAATATCCCTAAGTTTCGTTATTGCCGACAATTCCTATAAAGGGTATAAGAAAGATTTTAGATAATGACTGAATTGGTAAAATTCCAATCTGGGTTTCATTAACTCCAGTTTCTAGTCATCGTTTCTCCAAAACCGGATAAAGACGTAAGATTTGTGACCAGAAAATTAAAACACCACTCTTGCTAATGGCCTTGTGGTCACAGAAGCCCCACTCCTGCCACAAAGTATATTCCAAACAGCTCCACTTGAATTTCTGATACCTGAAAAAAGACTTTTGGTCCTCAGAGCATGCAAGAGAATTTATGGGTAGTTTAGTATAACCACTAACACACTTTGAAAATCTCTCAATTTTAAGATTTACTGCCGTATAGATCTCCAACTTCCTTGTACTGGTAAATAGTCAGTAATGACAGTGAGCACCCAAGACCCAAGGATTCCTGTCTAAAAACCTGTTCTGTTTTTGCAGTGGATAGCCTGCTGAAATACACTGGCTATGGGAATGCTGCAGGACTGTTGGCGGCCAGGGGCCTCTTGGCTGGAGGAAGAGGAGATAATTGGTACTCAGAGGACGAGGACACAGACACTGAAGAATACAAAAATGCAAAACCAAAGTATAGTATCAAGTTTCTTTTCACCTATGCCTGTGCCTTTGATTTGGTTATTTACCTTTCACTTCCTTTGTCTTTCATTTTCCAAGTGTTTCCTTTCTTTTGTGGATTTGGAAGCTTTCCATTTAATAGTGTTTTTAGAGACAATTTCATAGCTAGTAGCTTAGAGAGTGACTTCAAATGATTAAGGAAAGATAATATTGCAAGAAATGTTCTGCTGCATGCTCATTATCCTCTCCTAAGAATTTGGAGAGATGGTATTTTTAGACATTTACCATCATACACTTAAAAAGTATTAGTGGCTACTTTTTGCTTTCCTTTCCGTAGGTTGGGATTGTATAAGGTACAACCAAGACCAAGGATTTAAGCTGGTTATTTGATGGTTCAGTCTTTCTCAGAAATCTAAACATAGGTTTCATAAATTCTGATCTTCTCTCTTGCAAAAAAGCCATTATGAATCAATAAAATGGTACATTACTAACAAAAGGAAGGAAGTGTAGCTCCACAGTAAAGTTTTATCAAACACTTAATCATCTTTTAACAGATGTATTATTGCTTTGAATAGGCAAACCAGAGACTATCATGTCTTTCCTGAATCAGTGCTTAGAAATCAAAGACACGGGGCGCCTGGGTGGCGCAGTCGGTTAAGCGTCCGACTTCAACCAGGTCACGATCTCACGGTCCGTGAGTTCGAGCCCCGCGTCGGGCTCTGGGCTGATGGCTCAGAGCCTGGAGCCTGTTTCCGATTCTGTGTCTCCCTCTCTCTCTGCCCCTCGCCCGTTCATGCTCTGTCTCTCTCTGTCCCAAAAATAAATAAACGTTGAAAAAAAAAAAAAAATTTAAAAAAAGAAATCAAAGACACTAATTCTCTTATCCCAAAACAAACCACCTCTACTTCCTTCTGTTTCCTCCGCATCCTTTTTTCCCCCCATTTAACCCCATCCCAGGTAAATTTCTTAGTTCCACTTATTAGGAGTTACTTGAGCTCAATTTTCTGGTTTCCATTAATGAATATTAAAAGGGTGTATCCATCCCTTTTGGCATTATCGATGATGTTGACATGTTAGGTTTCCTGTTGATGGTTTCTAGAGTGTAATGGGGATCATGTGGTAGTTGATAAAGGATAGAAAATCATTATCTGCAAAATTAGGCTTTTTTTTTTTTAAAGGATAGACTGTGCCCTGTTAACATGAAAGTAGTAGGTTATCAGAAGGTAACAGCAAAGATCATTTCCTAATCAGACAAGACATATATGGCCTATATTCCTTGGCAAATCAGGCCTGAGTAGGTAGCATTATTACTTTTAATATTTCTAGTGCTTTCAGTCTCAGCAGCAGGATCTTGTAGAGTATATCCTAGAAAGAAAAGGCTTCAGGGAAAATAAAACTAGCAGTGACTCTAACCAATACATTCTTAAGACTGCTACCATTTAGATGCTATAAATTGGGCATCTCTCTCAAGTAACTGAAGCTTAGATAGAGGAATTATACTTTAATCTTTTCCTAATCATACAAGTCATCATTCTAAATTAGTCTTGCTAGCTAGCTCTTGATTTTTCCATTCCATAAACTATACTTCCATATCAGTTTTTTTCTCTCTCTTCATTTGAGACATTAAATATACCACTTAAGTCTCATATTTTTAAACAAAGGTAGAAATTACATTAGGCATTCATTGTGTCCCAAGTTATGCAGACAAGTCAACTAAGATAGAAACTCTTGGAATACTCATGGATGAATGATGTCATTATATCAATGTGTATTGTTGATTTTGTTTGGTGAATGACTCTATTATAGTAATGATCACATATCTCACAAGCACCAGAACACTACTATAACAAGAAATTGGAGGAAATACAAGAACACTGGGTCTCTTCTAATAGCATGGGAAATAGAAATGTGTTAGATTGTGAAAGTGATGTTAGATTTCAGGAGAGCACCTTTTGTTTAAATCAAAGACCATGATGTTTGGTATTGTTACTGTTTTGGCTTGGAAGGGTCCATACTTAGGCCTGCATACTTTGTTAGAATCTTCTTCAGCCTTTGGACCTGGCCTGTAGGGTTCATAGGAATGGTGTGTTAGTGTGGTCAGAATAGTCACCATTGTGAAATCTTGTTGTGTTTCTTAAACATTGGTCATTACAAGTATATATTTCTAGCAAGCATTACATCTTTCCCCTTCAGATAGATTTGCATCTGTTTTTTTCTTACATCTTCCCTCTTTCAGATAAAACACTGTAGTGGGATGTTTGTTAGTTAATTTAAAATATTTATTCAAATGGTCCTTGTGGAAGTGGTGGTGAACAAAATACTTTGCAAGCAAGACAACTCCTTGTGCTCTGGGGAGTGATCTACAGAACTGAAAGAACTTTTTCCCCAAAAATCATGAAAACTTTTTACCAATCTAGTCAGGCTTAGGAAGTCAGCACCTGAAAGGATTGCTTTCCCCGCTACCATCTGATTACCCTTCACCAAGATCACAGTATGCTTTTCTTATGATGCATTTATTCACAACAGTTGCTAGTTTGGGCAGAAGCAGAGAAATTACCCTTTATCCACTTGGCCCTAGTCCCGTTGTCAAAAATGTAAGTGGATTCTGATTGATGCACCAAGGTAACCTGTAATCCTTTAGTGGAATCTGAAACCAATAATTGTGTGGAGCTTACATTTAGGCTATAGGAGACAGTTAATTTCACAACAGTCTTTTTTGTGTCAAAATAAGTGTATTTAATGGACTGGAAATGGCTTTCTGCAATTAGCAGAAATATAGTCAAAGAATCAAGTTACATGCCACACACACTGTGTTGTAAGTCTAGCCATGTTTGTTAAAAGTTTTCAGATAAACTTTGGTCCTGAATCAAAGAGAAAAATTTCCAAATTCTAACTTATATACCTACCTGTTTCTTTTATGCCTCAGAGCATGGAGGCCCCTTGACCATACAGGTGGTATAAGTGACTAATGTGGTTTGTACATCATTCCAGACATCAGTTGAAAGATGTGTACCTGATGACATTTGGCTCATTTTAGACCAGTGGCCTTCAAGATGGGTATATAGGAGCCTAGGGGTCCAAAGAGGTATCTTTAAAGGGCTGCTAGATGGAGGGCAAAAGGAGGGGGTGACCAAAGTGGGCAGAACTCTAGGATAACTCCTTATACTCTTAATACCCTACACTAGTTCATACTCACACCCAGAAGCTTAAAATCATTGTACTAAGCAACTCAGGGGTGTTTCCTTCTTGACTATATTTCTCTCAGCAGTAGCTGTGGCAGCAGCTGTGTAATTTCTTCAGAATGAGACAAGAGACTTTTATTCTTTGTCAAGATTTTGTTTTGTTGCTTTAAGTCCCATTGTAATTGTCACCGTATATTGAGACTATACAGAAGACTCTTTATTGTTTTGCGGGGGCACGTACTCTGGGGAGTTTTTCCTGGAAAGATATTTCTAGCCTTATTTGCACTTAACCTCTTCTTTCCTGCTCTGAGCTCACAAAAGCCTTTTCCTATTAACCCTGATCCTTTTCCTGGAGGTTGCAAATTGTCCACTCATAGACTAGATTCAGCCCACAAGTAAGTTCTGCTTGGCTTACCTGATGTTGCATTCATTGGTTTAGTTTTGTGTTTTCATTTTCTGTTTTACATAATATTTTGTTGCCGACATTTAGAATTCAGATATTTCAGATGGAAATTTGGATTTTGAACTTTTTTTTAATAAGTTCTAATAACATTAAGCCTGCATTTTCACGTGGCAACTGGCTGATGGAGTGGAGGGTCTGTGGTGCCCACCATACCAGGCATGAGCTCCTCTGGTTTAACAATATATCCTTGTCATTTACCTTACCTGCCTAGCCCCTGTAGGAATTTGCCTTTATAGCCCCTTCTTTAACCAGAATGCTTTGAGTGAAATTTAATCTACACTTCTTAGGAGATTGAAGTTAATTTTCATATAGCTCATGGAAATTTTAATGGCTCTTTTTTGTAAAGTGACCTAGTACTGTTGATGTTGACCAAATGTAGCAATAACTCGAAAAGCAAAAGTTTTGAAATATATTTCAGCTTTTATGTATATATTCATTTGCTCATACCTTTTTATGTCTTAATCCCTTCATCTCCAGGCCCATAACTGCAGTCAGTTCATAGATAGTAGCCTTATATAACACGAAATGCTCGATGATGCTTTATATAGGTATTTAAATAATTCTTGTCACCTAACTGAAAGACATATACAATCATAGAATTGGAGGGCTGGGAAGATGGGGAAGGGGAACGAAGGCAAGGTGGGACAACATCGTACCATAAAATTACCCAATACAATATCTACCACAATTAGTATACTTAAAGCATCTTAAGATTCAGTCTTAGAACAAGAGAAAACTACCCTCAGAATTTCAGTGTTAAGATCCTAAAACCTAGAAAGTTAAGTCTTACACTATATTATTTGAGGTTGTAGTGATTGTTCAACTGAAAATAATCCATTTTATGAAATCTCACATCATTGTTATGGTGACTGTTTTCCTCTCTTGGTAAGGAAACCACAGGAGGCTGGTTTGATGTGGGGAGCAGGAGGGGCGGCAGTGTCCCCAGCACATTGGCATTTTTCCCGTAAAACAGTGGCACAGTTCAGTGCCCCAACTTGTGTTTGCTGTGGCACCGGGTACATTCTTCTACATATTGGGGGTGGGGTATTACATGAGTAAAAGATGATAAATCCTTACTCTGTAAGTGAATCTCTGGCTACTGCTTTTATACTCAGTGAGCAAAGATTTTGTGACGTTAGTAGCTAATTTCAGAGCAAGCTATTAAATCATTTTAGCAGCAAAGGGCTTGAGGTCAGCTTATTAAAAGCGGACATCACTTGTACTAAAACCTTAAAAGAACCAAGAAAAGAATCAAATGTACCCTGATTCAGGAATTCATGATCTGGCCTTATAGTGTGGATACCACAGAGCTTACCAGTGTATCCTCTTGACACTGTTTCCCCTGAGGCACGTGATGGCTTGTCCTAATGTCATTATATTCCAAAAACAGTCTGTGGATGTCATTTCTTAAATCACCCCTCCATTGAACTTGAGAAGAGCCTTCTTTCAAGAGACAAATCGAACATATTCTACATAGTTAGTACATCTACCTTTCCTTGTACTTTTTTCTAAGGCCTGATTTCCTTTGTCTGCTTGGGAAGTGGTATACACCTCTAATAAGTACCTTTACTAATTTATTTATAAGACTAGTTGTTTTTCTAATTTAGCAGGTGGCAGAAAAGGAACTGTGAAAACATGTGCTGTTGCTATATGCCCAGGGAAATAATTGATGGATGGTAGAATTACATTTTTAGTATGCATCTGGATTCATCTTTAAAATGCTATAGTTCTTAGAAGCCTTGTCTGGGCTCCCCTTGTTCTTGACTTTTGGGAACTATGTTGACCGCATTCAATGTTTTTGTTAATGGCCACTAACTAGAGGCCTTTTTCTCTCCTATTATAGCACCTGGGGGAATAAAAAAAAGGGGGGGAGGGAATACTAGCACACAATGAGTGTCTGAAGTAGGCGCTCTAGCCCTGTGGTTCTTTAACCTCATTGTGTATCAGAACCACCAGGAAAATAAAATATATAGATTTACTTGGTCTCAGGTGAGGCCTAAGCCTTTTCTTTAAAGTTTACCAAGTGATTCTAATGTGCAGCCAAAGCTAAGAATCACTGACAAGCCTATGAGTTTTCAGACTGTTTCCTTAGAGTTCCTAAAAGTGCCTCAGGGGCTACCTTAAGAGGAAGCAAGTAAGTACAGACCAACAGAAGGGGCTTTAGGCCTCCACTCTGCTTGGTCACCCATCCCCTCTTCTGCCAGAGAGGTTCCACTTTGTCTGTTTTATATGTGGGCTTTCTGTGTAGATTTCATTTGTTTAAAAAAAGGCAGGGGGAGGTTGGTGGTCCGTCCACCGCTTTGAATGAAAAAAAGTTTTTTAATCATGGCTACAGCCTTCGGTCTTATGCAAGAATGACAAAACAGAGGTTTTAGATATGTTTGTTGAGAATGCTGAGCACTGAGTCCTTCCACAAGAATCTGAATATCATGTAGCCTCCAAGGAATGTAGAAAAAGAGAAGGAGATCTTTTAGTAATGAATAGTAGTAGTAGTAATGAATAGTAATGAATTTCTCCAAATGAGAAATCCCTGATTGGTAAAGAAAGTTAAACTGCCCAAGTCAAAGTCTAAAGCACAGCTTGCAAGCTAGCCCCCAGAGGACCCAACTGATCACAGTCTTCGTTTTGGCCCATAGGATTCTACCTCCTGCCACCTTTAGACAGGCACTGTTCTCAAGTTTACCCCAGTCCTCAACACTCCACATTATTTATACTTGACCAGTTCACTCATTTGCTTATCCTGAAGGCCTGGCCACTGAAAGTATTTGTGTTTATAGACCCTAGAAAACAATTAACAGTTTGCTGTGTTTTTAAAGATCAAATGAAATATCCCTGCAAACTGTCTATATACTTGGCTCAAACAAAATGCCATAACCTCTTGTCTGCTTTTCCAGAAACATGTTTAGGTTATAGATATTTAGCAGCCATTGAAAGAATTTTCTTTCATCTCAAAAAAAAAAAAAAAA